ATTTGTACCACTTTTTGTTGTTTATTAGAATACGATCAGTTTAATAGTTTACACTAAGGACTAAATTTTTCTTAAAAACTGTTTTATATTTTTTTACACGGGTGCTCTAAAGTTTTTTTTATTTGTGTTAAGTTTTAAAAGCAAATATTCTTCATAAACAAAAAACAAAATATTCAAAATACGTTAAAATAAGTTATGTTATTCACTATCAGTGAAATTAAAAATTTTTCCAGAACTCAAAAAACTTAAAAATAATATATATAGATTTTGCAAAAAAAATATATTTCATAAGTTTTGTACAATTTTACAATTTGGGTGTGGTTACATCGGTTCGCCAGTTGGTAGTGTGCCTGTCAGTTTGAATGTTTAATGACATTTTACTATTTTTAAAATAACTTTTAAACAAATTAAGGAATTTGAAAATTTCTCATCTTATTTATCTAATATTCGTCAAACATTAGTTTTAGTTCTTACGTTACTAAAAATCTAACTCACACAGATGAAAGACTTTAGTATGACGCATGTTTTGTTTTGTAGTCAATGTTCTAAAAAACGAATTTTGGAGTCTTGTAGGAAATGAGCGAAATAATGTGCAATTTTTATTAAAATAAACAATATTTGACTAAAAAACGTTAGTGCTTTTTTACCCATTTTCAGTTAGAAAATTACGCTTTTTTACCCCTTTTTAATTTTTTTGCGCGCGTTTTGCTTGACCAATGTTGGCAACACTGGTAATAATTGAATCAATTTTTTATTAAAATATTGTGAAAGTATTGAAATGTTTATAAATTATCCACAAAAAGCTAAAAGAAAATTCATTTATAATGAAATAATCTTTATTTTTATAAAACATAAAATAAAATTGTGGGTATTTATAAAATTTATCAATAAATTAATCTTAATTTAATCTTATTACATTTATCTTAATAAATAGCGTACACGTTTAGCAGCTGCTGCTGGTATTTGATAAAAATAGTTTATTTTTCTTTTATAAAATTTTTCCAATTTTTTGTTTTCCTTATTGTGTTAAAATGTTTCAGTAATACGTGCCATTCACTTCAATCAAAATTTTCTGTTAACAAAAGATTGTTAATTTTTCGAAATTCTTTGGAAAATCTTTTAAAACATTTACAACTGGTCACACTTTAATGAGATTTTGTTTTTGATTTCTTGTTGATCTTTTCTTTCAATTTTATTCAGTGTTGCCAACATTGGTCAAGCAAAACGCGCGCAAAAAAATTAAAAAGGGGTAAAAAAGCGTAATTTTCTAACTGAAAATGGGTAAAAAAGCACTAACGTTTTTTAGTCAAATATTGTTTATTTTAATAAAAATTGCACATTATTTCGCTCATTTCCTACAAGACTCCAAAATTCGTTTTTTAGAACATTGACTACAAAACAAAACATGCGTCATACTAAAGTCTTTCATCTGTGTGAGTTAGATTTTTAGTAACGTAAGAACTAAAACTAATGTTTGACGAATATTAGATAAATAAGATGAGAAATTTTCAAATTCCTTGATTTGTTTAAAAGTTATTTTAAAAATAGTAAAATGTCATTAAACATTCAAACTGACAGGCACACTACCAACTGGCGAACCGATGTAACCACACCCAAATTGTAAAATTGTGTGAAATATATTTTTTTTGCAAAATCTATATATATTATTTTTAAGTTTATATATCGATACCCATAAAATTTTGTACATAGATTTTGTTTTGTTGGTCAGTTATATCGTCATAAAATTCGGAATAAAGAATTATAATAAAAATATTTTTATTGCGAGTACAACGATGAAGTAATCATGGAGGCTTTATATATTAGGGATAGGTTCAATTGTGTAAAAAAATTGTATAAAACTTATTTTTTGTCAATTTTCATCGCTGTACTCATATTTTTAAGGGGACCTTAATAGGGGGTAGGGTAGGTTACCGAAAAATCCGAATTAAATTCGGTAGGAAGATTACGTTTGTATAAAAGTTGTTTATTTCGAATTTCTCCGCTATACTCGTATTTTTAAGTCAGTAAAGAGCGTTAAAATCAATTTTTGAAGGTGACCATATGTGGGGGTAGGGTCAATTATGGACCGATTGCCGTAAAATTTGCTAGAGAGATTTTGGCTTATATAAAACATATTTATGTCGAATATTTTTAAGTCGGTAATGAGTATTAATGTCATTTGGTAGAGAAATTTTGATGCATATAAAAGTTACTTATGTTGAATTTCAACGCTGCACTCATAGGGAGACCTTATTTGGGGGTAAGGTCAGTTATGGACCAATTCCCATAAAATTTGGTAGAGACATTTTGCCTTATATAAAACTTATTTATGCCGAATTTCATCGCTATACTCGTATTTTTAAGTCAGTAATGACCGTTTAAATCATTTTCTGAAGGAGACCTTATATGGGGGTAGGCTCAATTATAGACCTATTTCTATAAAATTTAGTAGAGATTTTGGCTTATATAAAACTTACTTATGTTGAATTTCATCGCTATACTCGTATGGGGGGTAGGGTCAATTTTGGACCGATTCCCATAAAATTTGGTACAGAGATTTTGACGCATATAAAACTTATTTATGCCAAATTTTATCGCTATACTCGTATGTTTAAAACAGTTGTGACTGTTAAAGCTGTTTTTCGGGGGGTCACTTGTATGGGGGATATGCGAAATTGCGGACCCATATTGCCCATTTGCCATACCAAACAAACCTTACCTATAAGAAATATTTGTGGAAAAATTTAACTCGCTTGCTCTTTCCGATCTAACCCTATCGTGCTTTCAACAGACAGACGGACGGACAGATGAACAGACGGATGGACATGGTTAGATCGGCTTAGAATTTAATAAGGACCCAAAATATATGTACTTTTGTGGGTCTACGACCAATATTTCGATGTGTTACAAACGGAGTGACAAAATCAATATACCCCACTCATCTTTTTTGATGGTGGGTATAAAAAGCACTAAATGCACTGTCATAAAATTAGAAAGCACCACTGTAGTGCCTTTTTGAAAAAAGGCACCATGAGCAAAATTTTCCGCGTTTGGCACACCAAAAGGCACCGCAAATAGTGCTAAAAGCACTAAGTTGGCAACACTGATTTTATTAGCCCTTTTACTCGGCTGCTGTCTTTCTGTCTTTTGACTTTTGCTCTTTGTTTTCATTTTTGTGATAAACAACACCTTTCCATTTTGTCACGTCTTATTGCAGCAACTGCAATAGCGGCAGCAGTGTTTTCTCTAGTGTGTAATGTGTGTACGTGTGTTTATTAGTGTAGGCGCTGCGCTTTCTTTTTGTTGTTTTTATTATAATTGTTAAATTTAAAGAACATCTTTAGAAGGTTATAACCTCAATGTTTTTCCTCTATTTTTGTTTTATTCTGCTCTTTTTTTGTTATAAATTTTGTTATTGTTCAATAAATTTTTGTTAAGCTTATGGTTTTTCTTTTGTTATTATTGTTTTTGTTAAAGAATGGCAACATCATTGGGAAAATCCGTTATTTTTTAATCTCATTGCTTTGAGTTGCTATTTTGGCGCTTTTTATATGTGAGTGATAGTTAAAAACAACAGGATAGTTCAGTGTTTTGTAAACAAAACAAACACCGGCTGTTTCACAAATCTTTAAATAAGGGGAGTTTTAAAGGGATTTCAGTAAATTGAGTAAATCTTAATGAAATTTTGTTTAAAATGAATAAAAATTTATGAAATTGATACAAAATGTTAAGATAAAATGATTTCTTTAGATATTTATCATTTCTAAGAAGATTTTCAAGTATTTTTTTGCAATTTTTATTGAATTAATTGTTAATTGCTGTTAATTTTTGTAATATTAATAATTTCCATGACGATTTTAAAGCCAATTTTTAATATTTCTTGACCATGTTCTCCAACTTTTAATATTTGTTAGATTTTTTAGTATGCCTATGCTTAAAAATTTTTAATTTATTTTTTTTTGCAAAAAATTAAATTTTTTTAAGTTCAATGAAATTTCATTTATATTTAGTATTTATGCTTCCATTTAGCAAGATTTTTTGATTTAACCTTTAATTTTACATTTTTCAAATGTGATTGTTAAAAAAAACCTCAAAATTTTTATTACAATACCTTTTATTTACCTTTTAAATTTACAACTGGTTTTGAAAAACACGACACAAACAGTTTGTTCACCTTGATGACAACAGAGTAGGAAGAAGATAACAAAAAAAACATAAAACACCTTTAGAATCTCCACCACCCTTATGTCAATATACTCATCATCATCGTCATTATGTTTTTGGATTTATAATGAATTTTCAACAACAATCGCCTACATTTGCTCAAACGGATGTGTTAGTGTTTAGACAAAAAGGTCCTTTTTGTTTTTGTTCTTTTTCTAAAATATCTGTGTGTTCAATGAATAACACCTTGAATTTTTGTTGTAACTACCTTGAGTTTTTGTAAATACACTTAGATGGACTACAAACTGTGGCAGACTACCATTTGAGCAAATAATTTCCTTTTGAGCAGATTTTTCTCGAAATAACAATAGAACTAGCTGAATTATTTGTTACATCTGCCTTTATTAAATGTCGACAGTTTGAGTGACATGGTAAGGATTTTTGCTGGCTGCTGCTAGCAAATCTATAGATTCTTTTGTTTTATAGAGTTTTTCTATTCCTGTAATCCTTGAAATGATCTTTTACTTTAAGGCTAAAGTAACTTAACAAAATTTCAAACTGTTGCTTTAAAATAAAAATTACAATTTAGTTGTTTAAAGTCCAGCCAACGTTAAAGACGTGTTTAAGAAACATCAACAAAAAAAAAATTAAATAATATTTGCAACACTCTGTTATAGTTTGTTTACCTTTTAATTACTCGTCATTTAAAACAAGCAAAGTGCTATTTATTACTCCAAGAAAAAAAACTACCGTTATTCTATAACTATCACCATCTTTCTCTAATTTTAAAGAAAACAACAATAAATTAATAACTGTTTTATTTTTACATTTTTTTACTTAAATTTATTGCAAATTTTGTTCAAAACGTTTTATGTAACTTGTGTCTTAAGTCCAATTTTGTTAAATTTTTTATTTTTGTTAATTTTCTTGTTTTTTTTATTAATTTAATGTTAAAAAATTTATCGTGTTAAACATTTTGTGCTTGTGTTTTTTAAGAAAAATTTATGCAATTGTCTTATTTATTGTTAAAATTGTCTTTGGAATATTTTATCAAACTGGATAACAATTCGTTATTGTTGAAATTATTAAATTTAATGTCTTCGCCAACGTCCGCCTATTCATCGCCCTCTTCCTCATCATCCTCATCGGAATATTCACCCTCAACATCTAGTCCCGAGTCTAACTCATCTTCATCATATTTAAATTTAATTAAAGTAGAATTTGATCGTAATATTATGGATTTAGTTTATCAGCCGAGGTAAGCTAGAAATCATGGGAAATTTTTCCAGAAAATTTAAGGAAAACTCCAGTTAAGATTTTGAAAAATATGAATTTATTAATTTTTAAAGTTTTTCAATATTATTGTTTTGTTTATAAACATAAAAATCACTTTGTCTAACAAAACGTATGGAATATTTTCTAGATTTTTAACAGAATCTTGTTGAAAATTTTATAAATTCTTTAAAAACATATTAAAATTTTCTAATTTAGTTAAATTTTTTAAAAATCTTAAGCATTTTCTTATAATATTTATGAAAATGTTAATAATATTTACTAATTTTCTTTTTCTCTCTTTAAAACTATTTGCAGATTGCCGGTGAATGAATGTCAGGCAAGTCAAACTGCTAGAGTGACATCTAACCTAAACGCATCCAGTAGTACAATGGCGGTTAGTCGCGTACCTTCACCGCCTTTACCGGAAGTAAATACACCAGTTGCTGAGAACTGGTGTTACACACAGGTAAGTTCTATTCGTTTTTGCATATAAAAATATCCCTAAAAAATTTACAAAAGAAATGCAATATAAAACTTGTTTAATCTTAAGCCTTAAGTAGAGATTAAATTTCGAAATTTAATACTTCCAAAAGTATCCCTTTACATCTTTCTGTAAGGGAATTAAATCTTTTGTAACAACTTCCTTTTTTCTTTAAATTTTATTTATAAATTTGTTTTTGTTTGTTTTTCTCTTTTTTTTTTGTTCCTAATCCAGGTGAAAGTGGTTAAATTTAGTTATATGTGGACCATAAATAATTTTAGTTTTTGTCGCGAGGAGATGGGTGAAGTTTTAAAATCCTCCACATTCTCTGCCGGTGCTAATGACAAATTAAAATGGTAGGTTTTTGAAACTGTGAAATATTCGAATATTTTATTATTATTTTTTTTAAATTTAAATTTCCAGGTGTTTACGTGTTAATCCAAAAGGTTTAGATGAAGAAAGTAAAGATTATTTATCCTTATATTTATTATTAGTTTCCTGCAATAAATCAGAAGTTAGAGCCAAATTTAAATTTTCCATATTAAATGCTAAAAGAGAAGAAACCAAAGCCATGGAATCACAGAGGTGAGTAAATTGATAAACAAATTCTTTAAATTATTAACATTTCCATTAAATTAACTTACTAAACAAATTTTTGTTAAGAAAATGTTTGGCAACATGTTGCTTAACTGCAGTTAAGCAACAATGATGATAATTTTTTAATAAAAAAAAAACGTTTTCCTATTATAGAGCATACCGTTTTGTACAAGGCAAAGATTGGGGTTTCAAAAAGTTCATTAGACGAGATTTCCTATTGGATGAAGCCAATGGTCTACTACCCGAAGATAAATTGACAATATTCTGTGAAGTTAGTGTTGTGGCCGATAGTGTTAATATTTCTGGTCAATCAAATATTGTACAATTTAAAGTGCCCGAATGTAAATTGAGTGAAGATTTGGGTAATCTCTTTGATAATGAGAAATTTAGTGATGTAACGTTAGCCGTGGGTGGCCGTGAATTCCAAGCACATAAAGCTATACTGGCAGGTAAGTTTTTCTTTTATTAAAGCAAAAAAAAAACAAATAATTAACTTATTTTCTTTTTTTGTAAAACAGCTCGTAGTGATGTCTTTGCTGCCATGTTTGAGCATGAAATGGAAGAGCGTAAATTGAATCGTGTCGCCATAACGGATGTTGATCATGAAGTTTTAAAAGAAATGTTACGTTTTATTTATACTGGCAAAGCTCCAAATTTAGATAAAATGGCCGATGATCTCTTAGCAGCAGCTGATAAGGTAATTAGTTGTTATTTATGTTTTTCTATCATTTTCTTTTTAATTGTTATTTTTTGTTTTGTTTATTTTGTATGTTTATTTAGTACGCTTTGGAAAAGCTGAAAGTAATGTGTGAGGAAGCGCTGTGCGTTAATCTCTCCGTTGAAACAGCAGCTGAAACCTTAATATTAGCCGATCTCCATAGTGCGGATCAATTGAAAGCACAAACGATAGATTTTATTAATACGTAAGTTTAGCACTTTTACTTTTTTAGGATTTTTTATTTAAGTCGTATGTTTAGAAACATGTTTATGAGGTTTTTTGTTGCAAAGACCTTTGATGCAAAGAAATTTAGATACATAGCTTTTGGCAACATGTTGCTACAAACATATTTTGTGTAAATTTTGTTATAAAATTGTACAAGTTCAAAAAAATTCATTATAAAGAATTTAACCTTCAGCAACAGGTTGCTTGTATAGTTTTCTTTCCATCAAAAGCTTTTGTGTTTTTATAAACATGTTTCTAAACTTTTCATATACATTTTCTGGTTTAAAACAACTTTTTTAACATAAAAATTTTCCACTTTTTTTACTCTCAATTTAGTCATGCCACCGATGTTATGGAAACACAAGGTTGGCAAAATATGATCACAACACATTCACATTTAATTGCGGAGGCATTTCGAGCGCTTGCAACACAACAAATCCCACCGATCGGACCACCCAGGAAACGTGTAAAATGAGCTGAAATTTTAATAGAAGCAACTCAAACAACAACAACAAATACATAGATAATCATCATTATAATAATAATAATAATAATATTAAAAACAACAGCAACAATAATTATTATAATAAAAACAACAACAACAAAAAACTATTCTTACTACTACAACTATTATTATAATTATAAATATTATTACAATTATTATTACTATTATAACAATAATAACTACTATAACAACAACAACAGCAACAACAACAATACAAACACAAATAATAGTTATAACTACAACAACAACAACAAAAACAATTTGAAACAGATAAATTTAATTAATAATTTAAACCCCCCAAAAAACACAAAAACTAATAATTTTAATATTTTGAAATTTTCTAAAACTTTTCCATATTTTTATGTTAATTTCTTTATACAACTAAAGGACAACAACAAAAACTATAATTACAACAACAATAGCAAACTTATGATGGCCAACTTAAGCAACATTTTGTATTTGATTGTAAAACAAATTATACTTTAAATGACTTTAAAATTTCTTTGCTAAAATATTTCTAAAAAAAATGTCTTTTTTAGTTTAAAAAAAACATGTTGCTTAAGCTTTAGATTTCATTAAAAACCCAAATCCTACTGGACTTACTATTATTTTCTTTCTTTTAACACTTTGCTGCTTCTTTCTTTTCTTTTTTTTTTTTTAATAAAAAAACAACATGTTTTTCTTATCTTTAAACTTATTTTTCTATAATTTTAAGAATATTTATTGTTTATTATTTTTATAATTTAAGTTTTAATTTTTATTATTATTATTTTTTTCTTAATTTAAATAATTTTTTTTTTAATTTTTTTTTTGCCTTTTTGAGTTTGTATAAAAAATTTAATATTATTAATAATAATTTTTTAATTAATTTAAATATCTATTGGTTTAACCAAAATATCTTTAATTAATAATATTTTAGAATTTTATTTACCAACACACAACCCGCCAATTAAGCGTTAAATCAAAATATTACTTTCTTTCTTTAAATAAAATAAATATAAAAAAAAAATTTAACAAAAAAGAATTGAACAAAAACTCCATAATTTTGTTTTTTTCACTCTTTGTATCACTAGGAGTTTGTGAAAATATGTTTTTGTTAAACTAAACATTTTCAAATAATTTTTTTCCAAACTTTTCTCTAAAAAATTATATTGTTTAATTTATAAATAAGTTTTATTATTAAATTTAAATTTTGAGTTCTCTAGCTTGATGTGTTTTTTTTTCTAACTAAATAAATTAAAGTAAAGTAAATTTATTAAATTTTTTTTTCCGCTATAATTTTTAATAATTATAATTCTTATACTGTTTTTTTTTATTGTTTAATTAATAAGTATTTTTTTGTATAATTGTCTTTAAAATTTTAAGTAAATTTATCTACAAGAAAATGCAAATTTATTATAGAAACAACAACAACAACTACATACAAACAAAACAAATTGATTTTAAACATTACAAGAATATAAAAAAAATATGAAACACAGATTTTGTGCAAGTAAACCTTAAAAAAATTAAAGTGTTTTTGTTTTTTTTTTATTTAAATTCTATAGGTAAATCTTTATATATAAAAAAATATGGCAACACTGTAGGAAACTCATAAATGATTATAGTCCTTTTCGGCACCTAGTCAATAAAATGTTTGATTGGTTTTCAAACACCAGAGACCCCATAACTTATAAAAAATTGTTTGGAACTTCGTCAATATTTGCTGTTTAAAATGGATTTTAGAAATTTTATATAATTTTTATAATTAAAATTGTATATGGCAACCCTGCCTAGTTTACCTAATTGTTTATTAAAAGTATATTTCTTAACAGGCATAGAAAATTTAAATTTCGAAATAGTACTTTTGCCAATATTAGGGGTAAAAGTACTAATTAACATTACGGCTTTTTCTATTGGCCAGTTCACAAGCAAGTCTTTAAACTGGCCTATTGACTAGTCGGTGGACTAGTATTTAATAAGTTTGTGGACCAGTCTATAGACTAGGACTAGGCTATTGACAAGACTGTGGGAGGAGTAATCTATGAAGTAGTCTTTTGAATATACAATTGATCAGTTTATGGGCCACACTGTGGAATAGTCTATTGACTAGTTTATTGTCTAACCTATTTACTTATCTATGGAGTAGTCTATTGACTATTCTGTGGATTAGTCTATTGACTAGTCTATAGACTATGGAATACTCTATTGACTAGTTAATTGTCTAACCTATTGACTAGTCTATTGAATAGTAGATTGTCTAATCTATTGATTAGTCTATTTAATAGTAGATTGTCTAGTCTATGAATTCGTCAATATATAGTCTATTGACTAGTCTATGGAATATTCTATCGACTAGTCTATTAGCTAGACTATAGAATCTTCTATTGACTAGTTTGTTGACCTATGAACAAATCTATTGAATAGTCTATTGTCTAGTCTATTGACTTTTCTATGGATTAGTCTATTGACTCGTCCATATTCTACTCTATTGACTAGTCTGTAAACTAATATAGGGACAAGTCTATTGTTTAGTCTATGGATTAGTAAATTGACAAGTCTATTGACCAACCTATGGACTAGTATATAGAATAGTCTATTGACTAGACTATAGAAATGTCTATTGACTAGTCTGTCGACTATTTTATGAATTCTTCTATTGACTAGCAAATATTCTACTATATTGACTAGACTGTTGAACAGTATATTTTCTAGTCTATGAAATAGTCTATTGACTAGTCTATAGAATCGCCTTTTGACTAGTTTATTGACTTATCTATGGACTAGTCTATTGAATAGTCTATTGTCTTGTCTGTTGACTATTCTATGGATTAGTCTATTGACTAGTCCATATACTATTTTATTGACTAGTCTGTAGACTAATATAGGGACAAGTCTATTGACTAGTCTATGGATTAGTTAATTGATAAATCTATTGACCAGCCTATTGACTAGTTAATTGACAAGCCTATTGACCAGCCTATTGATTAGTCTATGGACTAGTCTATTGAATAGTCTATTTACTATGCTATGGATTAGTCTATTAACTAGTTCGTTCATATTCTATTTTATTGACTAGTCTGTATACTAATACAGGAAAAAGTTTATTGACTAGTATATGGATTGGTCAATTGACTAGACTATGAAATATTATATGGACTAGTCTATGGAGCAGTCTATGGAATATTCTATTGAATAGATTATAGAATCGCCTATGTAATTGTCTATTGACCAGTTTATTGACTTATATATGGACTAATCTATTGTCTAGTCTATTGACTATTCTATGGATTAGACTATTGACTAGTCCATATACTACTCTATTAACTAGTCTATAGACTAATATAGGAACAAGTCCATTGACTAGTCTATGATTAGTCTATTGACTTATCTACTGTACTAAAGTACTGAATGGGCATGAAGCCTGTTCCTTAATATCTGGCAATGTAGTTTGCTTGTCCTTTAAATTTGTACACAAGTTTATAGCTAAGTATTTTCTATTTCTATAAATTAAATTTAAAGCCGATAGCTTTTAAACCAAGTTATTTAGCATTTAATAGAGATATCAAACAGACATTCAAAAAGTGGGCGGTAAAAACCCTAACGTTTTTAAAATGCTATAACTACCCAAATATAGCCACTGGGCTATATTTGGGTGAAATTTATGTTTTGCCTCAAGATATTTGCTAAAATGTTAAAATGCCACTCCAAAACAAAGATTACGCCCTTATAACTTAAGTAGGATTAGGCGTGGCACAATTTTTATGTATGTCGCTCAAAAGCACATATCTTTATCTCTGTGTATGCCAAATTTGAACTCATTGCCCTTTAAATTAACAAAGTTATAGCGTTTTTCTACAATCATTTTGAATCATGATTTTTATGGAGAATTATATGGCAACCCTGGCAAATAAAATTTCTAACATATGCTAAAAAGTCTCTTTAAACAAATGATACTACTTTCAATAAAATCGGTTTGATAATTCCCGAGATTTTTATATTTAAAGAAAATAAGTCAAAATCTTTGTAAATAGTTTTAAAAAGCTAGTTTTGTGGAGTTTACTTTTTATGCTTAAAATTTGCTATTAACAATAGATAAATGTTCTGAAAAGAGTTGTTATTAAAAGCTCAAAATGTCCTCTTTCATTTAATGCTCATTTTATGTTAAACGATCCAGTAGTTTAAGAGTTATAGGCCATTTTTTAAAGGTGTCTTGAAAACAAAAAATTTTGCAAAAACGCCTGCATGTCAAACAATAGAGGGCGCTGAATAGACAGGTTGCCAGTGCTGCCAAGTTTGTTGAAAATTGTGCATTTCTTAAGGGTACCTAAAAACGTTTATAGCTCGGGAACTACAGGCTCAATATTAACAAATGATAGCTCATTGAAAAGATCGAAAAGAGTAGTTTCATATGGGTATATAATGTAATAAAAATATTTATTGTTTGGTTGATAATTAAGGAAAAACTTTTAGACAAATGTTTATGTTTAATAATAGATAAATTCTTGATTTAAAATGGTTTTAGATTAAACGATGTTATAGTACAAGAGAGAAATGTTTGTCATACTTCTAACAGTTTAGAAACAGTGGAATTAAGAGCCGGTTAGAGAGTACTGTTCAACTATTGTAGTGTTTTTAGTATTTTTAACATGAGTAAGTAGAATTTGGCATATTTTACATAATAAACTAAAACTAGATTTCTTTAGCTTTTAAATGTTACCAGTTTTACTTAAAACGATCAAGTATTAGCCGAGTTATGGTGGTTTATAGATATAGAGTAAATTCACAAAACTTGGCAGTACTGTTTAAGTGTCCGAACAGCGCCATCTATTGTTTGACATGATTGAAAATCGTAACCTTTTATTATGCATGCCAAACACATATTTCGAAAAACCTCTAGAACTCTGTTAATACTCAACGGATCGCATTGAAATTTATGTTGAGCGATAGTTAAGAATATTATCTAAAAGATAAGTATTTATTTAAACTAATAACATGTTTATTTTAGTTATTATTTAGCATTAAACCTAATAAACTATTAACAAGGTTTTAAAAGATTTGTTCTTAAAAAATAAGAATTAACGTAACCTGTTGGTTCTTTAGCTGTTGTAGTTTCCTAATATAATGTAAAATTTAAAACATTTTTTGTATTTTGCAGGATTTTTCAATTTTAAATCTTGGATTTCAAAGCTTTCATTTGCCATCAGTTTTATGTAAATCAGTTCAGTATTAGTGAAGTTATAATAGTTTTAAAGTATAAATGCTATTAGGTCTTAAAGTCTTTTTAAAATTAAAATGTTTAATTTTCAATAACATTTTATGTTGGTCCAATTTTCAGTTCTTTTGCTATATAACAATACAGATTTCTAAAAACAATAACTGTTCAATAAAATAATAGTAGTTATATTAAACAATAAGTTTATGTAGGTAAATGTCTTAGTAATGAAAACAAATTCATAAAATTGAAGAAATAAATAATATTTGAGTAACAATAACACAAAAATAATGACCACTTTTTTTAATTAACAATAAAAAAAAAAAAACAAATCAAATAAGAAAAATAACAAAGTTTCACTTAAAAATACAATAATTTAAAAAATAACAGAAAAAAAACAATAAAAATGTAAGTAAAACAACAGACCACCATTAAAATTAAAAAAAAAAAACATAACAAATATAATTAATTATAAAAACTATTATTATTTTTTAATTTCTAAAAAAAATTTTTTATTTTTTCATTAATTCTTTTAATTTTTGTTTAATTAGTTTTTTTAGTGACAAATATTATTAAAAAAAAGTTCTAAATTTAATGTAAAAACAAAATTGGAAAAATCACTTATAAAATTGCAAAAATGTCAATGGGTATGAAGCAAAAATCTCGTTAAATTTAATTAAATGAAAAGAAAAAAAACGAACATCATTATTAAGCGTAGTACTTTAAAATGAACAAATGAAAATCCCATAAACAATTTAATACTTAAGCACACTTTAAAAAAAATATTACAAAAAAATACAAAAAAGAAACAACTACAAAAAAAAATTAATATAAAAAATAAAAGAAAATTATAAATTCTCATAATTTTAAAGGGGTTTTTATTGCGAAACAAAATAGAATCTTAAATACAGAAATTTACATGCTTCCCAGCTTAATTGAACTATAAATTAGTAAGGCAACTCTATTAAATAATACTTTTTTCCAAATTCCTAAAAGTTGCACATTCCTTAAAATCGGAAGAAAAAAACACTCTAATCCCAGCTTAAATAGAACAAAAATGTATGTGGCAACACTATGAAATTCGATATTTAGCAAATTCCTAAAAGTTCAGGCTGTCAAATGATATAATATTCCTTGAAATCGGTTTTGTAGTACCAGAGTAAGTACGATTATAGTTTCGCTTAGTTCTCAGTTAAATTGAATAATAAACTAGTATGGTAACTCTAGGAAAAAGTTAATTTTCCAAATTCCTAAAAGTCCTGTTTGTCGTACAATATAACATTCGTTGAAATCGGTTTTGTATTTCTAGAGTTATTATTGATCATAACTACGGCCAATATTTTCAAAAACAAAATTTTTCTTTATTTTGCTGCAAGCCCGGCGAAAATAAACCATAAATTTACATGGCAACACTATGAAATTATATATTTTCCATAATCCTCAAAGTAACCGCTATCCAACTATACTTTATATATGCAAAACGGTTCATTAATTCCAAAGAACTTAATAATCATAAATTAAAGGATTTTAAAAAAAATTTACTACAATACCAGCTAAAATAAACAATATAGTATTATGGCAACCCTATAAAATTATATATTTACCAAATACCTAAAAGTCTCTGCTATCAAAGGATATAACATTAATTAAAAACGTTTAAATAATTCCAGATATATTTTGTAGTTAAAGTAATAGGTTTCAGACAAAAATGTTACTGTTAATTTTAATCCCAGCTAAAATAAACAAAAAATTATTACGGCAACCCTATAAAATTATATATTTAGCAAATGCCTAAAAGTCTCTGCTATCAAAGGATATAACATTCCTTACAAACGTTTACACAATTCCAAAGATATTTATAGTTAAAAAGTTAAAAGGTTTCCGAGAAATATGTTACTGTGATGATGTAATCCCAGCTAAACTAAACAATTAATTTATGTGGCAACCTTAGCAAATATAAGTTCTAGCAACTGCTCAAAATTCAGAGCTTTCACGCAATACTGAATTTATTAAATCGGTTCATTAAATTCCAAGATATTTGCTATTAAATAAAAAAAAGAAAAACATCTTAACAACTTGTGCTTGTATTTGCAAAAAAAAAAATATATAAAAAAATTCAATAAATAACTTTAAATATTTTTTCTTACGAATAAAATTTAATCTTTTTTCTCCTGTTCATCCAAAAACTGCTGCAATAGACCAGCATCTATAGGTATGGTCAGCTGTTCAGAGCCATCTACACTTCTTTTTGATTTTACCAATTTGTGATCTAAAAATTCGGTTAATTGAGCTCTTAAAGCTAAATCTGAACTGACCAAAAAGGCTTCTCGACAACTCCAATATAGATCCTTAAAGTGCATGCCTATAAATATGGAAATTTTTATAAAATTGTTTAAAATGATTTGTATTTTCATCAACTTACCTTGATAATTAGCATTTCCTTTGTTTTTCAATTGATGTTTAACAATAATCATGTAAATACCTCGAGAGTTAGTGGTCAATGATAAGAAGACACTGCGCAAAGAGGATAAAGCCAAGTCGCCAGAATTTTGTACTAAGAGGGAATTTTCGAAGGCTGTTTCATCCGAGTATGGCAGCATAGTGGTGCAATCCCACCAAGAGAAATTAAAATTACTAAGTTTTGTATGATCCCATACTAAAAATTAATAAAAAGTTAATTTAATTCTAAAATTATAAAGTTTCCAGGTGTTAGACTAATCTTAATATGAAGAATTTCTCTCCAAATACTTTTTCAAGCTCTTCATTATTTTTAAGAGCAAATTTAAGAAATATTAATAAAACAAATAATTTCAAATACTTACACAAAGGTGTATTAATATGATCCACCGATGCTAACATATGAATATTAGGTACTTTTGCCAAACGCGCCAAAATCGATTGAGCCTTTGAATTTCTTAGCATAGAACCATCCAGATTATGTACGATTAAATACAAATGTGTTTGAGGTATTAAAGCAAATTCCTCTTCAATCATATCAACAGCCTCATGAGGATTACCCGGACTAATGCCAGCATCTAAAATATCATTTGTAATACTATCGAGAATATCTTTCACTGTTAAACTGGGAAAGAAACCGTTGATTACTAAAACACATTGTTGAGACAGTACAGTGCGATGAAATGACTGTAAAAGTTGTCGTTTAGAGCCTAAACCATAAAGCAAAATATTATAACCTTCATTTAGAATATACAGCCATTTGGGAAAATATGATTTGTATTCTTCCATAATGGCATTTATGGAGGTTTCATGTTCGCTAGACAATTTCATTTCTGACAAAAGTGAAAACAGACGATCGGCCGGTAAACGTGGATTTTTTAAACGATCTAAGGTATGATCAGATGTGAGAATTTTACTGCTGGAGTGTGATTGAAAATAACTTTCACATTCTGGTACATAGTCAGCGTTTTTCTTAACTCGTGATGATTGTCTTAAGCGAGCCGCAGAGGGAGTTTTGGGTAGTATGGGCACTACTATGGGTTTACGTCCCTTACAAGGTGTTTTAGGCTCATCATCTGCTTCATGGTCTTCTCCTGAGGAATCAGTATCACTAGAGGAACTTTCACTACCCGAAGGAGCAAAATCACTTTCATCCCCGGAGAAATCAGAACCAGATGCAGCCTCCACCAGTTTAGCAATTTCTGTTAAATTTTTAAAAATTTTAATAAATGAAGATTTTTTGTTGCTTTTCTAAATACTTACGATTTTTAACTTTATTACGCACTCTAGAGGGAGTTTTAGGTTCCAACGACTTTTTGGCTCTTTTACCATCTGGTGTCTTACCCAGCCGACCAGGGGTCTTAGGTGTTTTTGGAGTTGTAGGCATTTTGGGTGTATTCATAGCAGCCAAAGCCATACCACCCTTTTTCTTGGGTGTATTAAAACCAAACATTTCTTTACCGGCCAGCTCTACCTCATCCTCTAGTAATTGTAAATCTCCTGCTTTAGGTTTGGCCACAGTATCGATAACAAAATCTGCATCTGTATCATCCTCTTCTTCATCAGTGACTTCAGTTCGAGCATTAGATTGTCTTTTACGATTACTACCACGACCTCCTCCAGAATCTAAGACAAAATCTCCCGCATACCTTTTATTAGGGCTTATAGTGCGTCCCGATCTTCTACAGGTCTTAGAAGTGTCCAAGGTATTTTCTTCATCAGTATCTTCCACCAAAACTTCAAAAGGCTCATCAGCTGCTGAATTAGAGGCTGAACTTTCTGTGGTTGTTTCATGATGCATTAAATTTTCTACGGCTTTTAAACCTTTCGATTTGGGCGTCTTAGCCTTGGCAGCATTTTGTTTTTTGGGCGTTTTATAATCTTGTTCCCTATTATTTATTTTTGTGGGTGTAGTAGACATTCTAATTTATAGGCCTTGATAATTTTTCTATAGTGTTTAATTTATTTTAAAGTTTTTTTCACTGATTTGGTTTGTTGTTTGCAAATTTTCAAGCAGATGTTTATATTTTTTTTGACATCTTGGTTTTTTTGCGCCATTTGTAAACAAAAACAGGGTTGTTTTGAGGACAGGGTGTATACGAAATGTCAATAAATAGGTTTTTTTTTAACAGAGAGCTTCAAGTTGTGTTAAATATAAACGTTACATTAATCAAATTTGAATAATATTTTTTATTGTCTTTATCACATCAAGGAAGAATTTGAATATTATTTTCAAAACTTAACTAAATAGGAAGAAAAAATCCTTATTCCTATTCTCTTATTAGGAATTATTTTTATCCCAAAATTACAACAAACTTATATTTTTCTTGTTTTTTTACTTCCGTTACAATATTTTCTGTAACAAATATGTATAAATTACCCACTTCAAAAACGAGATCAATAAAAAAATGAAATTCAAAATGTTGAACTCTTTTAATTAAACATTTAAAATTTTTCAAATTCAAAATTTAAGTTCATTCAACCAATTTCGTTTAAAATGTTAATAAATATTAACATATTTTTCTCAACATACCTTAAACAAGTACAAATATATTTTTTCCCCAACAATTCAATAAAAATTTGTTACAAATAAAATGTAGTAGTTAACAATCAAGAAAACCCAGCAGGATAATTTAACCACATAATTTCACACAAAGTCAAACCGCGTTGGAGATAACAGTAAAAAAAAACTATTTTATTTAGAACATATAGAAGTACTAGAAGAAGGAATCAATTTTTTTCTATCTCTCCCCTTTCTTGACAGGAAAATAAAATACAATTATACACACATGCATAAATTACAAAACACAGTGGGTCTTCTATCAAATGATAAACAATGCACTTAATTTTAATAAAAAAATAAAAAAGTAAAGGAATAGTAGAAGAAAAATAGCGAACAAACACAACTACAAAGAGATAGTTAAGTAAACTCAGTCAGTGTGCAAATTAAAATAAAAACAAACATAACTGAGCAAAAGCTGAAAACAAGTTTTGCAAAGTTGTTGTTGTAAGAAAGCTAAATTCAATAATGCCAGAGTAGCCAGATTAGTTTTTAAAAAGGCGAAAAATAGAGTGCATAAGTAATAAGTAAGTAAGTAAGTAAGTAAGTAAGTAAGTAAGTAAGTAAGTAAGTAAGTAAGTAGTAAGTAAGTAAGTAAGTAAGTAAGTAAGTAAGTAAGTAAGTAAGTAAGTAAGTAAGTAAGTAAGTAAGTAAGTAAGTAAGTAAGTAAGTAAGTAAGTAAGTAAGTAAGTAAGTAAAGTAAGTAAGTAAGTAAGTAAGTAAGTAAGTAAGTAAGTAAGTAAGTAAGTAAGTAAGTAAGTAAGTAAGTAAGTAAGTAAGTAAGTAAGTAAGTAAGTAAGTAAGTAAGTAAGTAAGTAAGTAAGTAAGTAAGTAAGTAAGTAAGTAAGTAAGTAAGTAAGTAAGTAAGTAAGTAAGTAAGTAAGTAAGTAAGTAAGTAAGTAAGTAAGTAAGTAAGTAAGTAAGTAAGTAAGTAAGTAAGTAAGTAAGTAAGTAAGTAAGTAAGTAAGTAAGTAAGTAAGTAAGTAAGTAAGTAAGTAAGTAAGTAAGTAAGTAAGTAAGTAAGTAAGTAAGTAAGTAAGTAAGTAAGTAAGTAAGTAAGTAAGTAAGTAAGTAAGTAAGTAAGTAAGTAAGTAAGTAAGTAAGTAAGTAAGTAAGTAAGTAAGTAAGTAAGTAAGTAAGTAAGTAAGTAAGTAAGTAAGTAAGTAAGTAAGTAAGTAAGTAAGTAAGTAAGTAAGTAAGTAAGTAAGTAAGTAAGTAAGTAAGTAAGTAAGTAAGTAAGTAAGTAAGTAAGTAAGTAAGTAAGTAAGTAAGTAAGTAAGTAAGTAAGTAAGTAAGTAAGTAAGTAAGTAAGTAAGTAAGTAAGTAAGTAAGTAAGTAAGTAAGTAAGTAAGTAAGTAAGTAAGTAAGTAAGTAAGTAAGTAAGTAAGTAAGTAAGTAAGTAAGTAAGTAAGTAAGTAAGTAAGTAAGTAAGTAAGTAAGTAAGTAAGTAAGTAAGTAAGTAAGTAAGTAAGTAAGTAAGTAAGTAAGTAAGTAAGTAAGTAAGTAAGTAAGTAAGTAAGTAAGTAGTAAGTAAGTAAGTAAGTAGTAAGTAAGTAAGTAAGTAAGTAAGTAAGTAAGTAAGTAAGTAAGTAAGTAAGTAAGTAAGTAAGTAAGTAAGTAAGTAAGTAAGTAAGTAAGTAAGTAAGTAAGTAAGTAAGTAAGTAAGTAAGTAAGTAAGTAAGTAAGTAAGTAAGTAAGTAAGTAAGTAAGTAAGTAAGTAAGTAAGTAAGTAAGTAAGTAAGTAAGTAAGTAAGTAAGTAAGTAAGTAAGTAAGTAAGTAAGTAAGTAAGTAAGTAAGTAAGTAAGTAAGTAAGTAAGTAAGTAAGTAAGTAAGTAAGTAAGTAAGTAAGTAAGTAAGTAAGTAAGTAAGTAAGTAAGTAAGTAAGTAAGTAAGTAAGTAAGTAAGTAAGTAAGTAAGTAAGTAAGTAAGTAAGTAAGTAAGTAAGTAAGTAAGTAAGTAAGTAAGTAAGTAAGTAAGTAAGTAAGTAAGTAAGTAAGTAAGTAAGTAAGTAAGTAAGTAAGTAAGTAAGTAAGTAAGTAAGTAAGTAAGTAAGTAAGTAAGTAAGTAAGTAAGTAAGTAAGTAAGTAAGTAAGTAAGTAAGTAAGTAAGTAAGTAAGTAAGTAAGTAAGTAAGTAAGTAAGTAAGTAAGTAAGTAAGTAAGTAAGTAAGTAAGTAAGTAAGTAAGTAAGTAAGTAAGTAAGTAAGTAAGTAAGTAAGTAAGTAAGTAAGTAAGTAAGTAAGTAAGTAAGTAAGTAAGTAAGTAAGTAAGTAAGTAAGTAAGTAAGTAAGTAAGTAAGTAAGTAAGTAAGTAAGTAAGTAAGTAAGTAAGTAAGTAAGTAAGTAAGTAAGTAAGTAAGTAAGTAAGTAAGTAAGTAAGTAAGTAAGTAAGTAAGTAAGTAAGTAAGTAAGTAAGTAAGTAAGTAAGTAAGTAAGTAAGTAAGTAAGTAAGTAAGTAAGTAAGTAAGTAAGTAAGTAACATCTGGCAACTATTAACGAAAGGTAGAATTTTTCATTGCTTGCTGATTCGTTTTGAATTTTTTGTTTTTTATAAAAAAAGTAACGAAAATAAACTTGTGGTGGTTTAGTCGGTTTGCACTATAAGTTAACAGTGGACGTTAAAACCAATAACAGTTTACCACAGGCAATCGTTGGTTGTGGTTGTTCAAAGCTGTTGACCAACTCGAAACGGCAACAGGAAAATTAACAAACAAAAAGTTAATTAAGAAATAAAGTGGCAAAAAAGGTGATGGTTAAATGAAAAACTAAAAAAAATTATTTAAAAAATAAAACAAGTGCTTTTTATAATAAATATCTAGAAATATAAAAACATTACAAAACTTAAATTATAAACAAAAATTAATAATGTTTATTACCAAAACACAATATTGGTTTAACGTTTCACTTTTCAATACTATGCAATTAAAACCGCAATTACAAAATTTAAAAAAAAAATTAACAAATTATGTATTATTTCAAGTTAAATAAACTTTATAAAGGAATCAATGAAGCGTTGTCTGACAACTTGCAGTAAATATAAATTGTTTATGTGATTTTCTTAATAAATAAAATTTAATTCGATTTAATTGGGTTTTAAATTCTTAATACTAAATTGTAATCATTATTCACGCAACGTATTCCGTGTTTTTTTTTTTGTCTTCTTACGTGCAAACAATTTTATTTTATTTTTAATAATTTTTGTAAGAAATAAATTACAAAAACAATAACTAAATCTGTTTAAATTGTTAAAAAAATAATATTATATGAGTGAATTAAAGTAACAGCAGTTTTGCATAATAATTAGTTGCCAATAGAACGTTTAAAATAAAATCAACTAAAAAGTAACTTAACCTCAACCTTCATTAATTTTTGTTAAATGATTTTATTTAAATTGATTTAATTTTTTGTTTTTTTTTTTATTAAAAAGTGATATTTTTATATGTTTCAAATGTGGAGTATAACGGTTTTGTTTCATTGAAATTTTCATATTAAAAATAGAAAATTGTAGGCTGTTAAGAAAAAGTTTTATAAAAAGTCAGGAAATAGTTTTTTAAGTTTCTACAAGGATAACTATTTTATAAAATTAATTGTTATTAGTGTGAATGTTTAGAAATTTCCTACATAAATTTAATTTAGTATTTGAAAATCTATTTTAAAATCTTTGCAAAATTTAAAGCTTTCAAATAAATTGATTTTAAAACTTAAAATTACAGATAAATTACAAAGTTTGCATACAAATTAATGCTCTAAATTCCATTTGATCAAAATTGTTTGCTTTACTAGGGAACAATACAAAATTAAATAGGCAAATTTTGACCTGAATTGATTTACAAAAAGATTTTAAATAGTTTTTAAAGAAAATTTTTTTGAAACTTTTCTGATTTTTTTTAATTTTTTGGACAATTTATAAAAATTTTTGGAAATTTTAATTTAATCTTTTTCCCAGGTCTTTTCCATTGATTTCTTTTGAGATATATCGAACATATCATCCGAAATATTTTAAAAATTCTGAAAAAATCAAGGCTTTTTTTAAATATTATTCATATCTCCTTTATTTGTTTACCGATTTTATTGACTTTTAATAGAAACTTTTAAAAAGTATGATCGAATTATTGAAGATTTTGATCTCTAAGGGTCTTTAGAATATTGTTTTTAACAAAAATACATCGACTTTGCTATCTATATAGATTGAGAAAATTCAGGAAATTACTAATGGAATGACAAATTTATCACGAATATGAAGTGTATAACAAGGTTGGCTTAAAGATCAGGAGTCAAATTACAGAATACGATATCTATCGAAAATCTCAATGGAATCTAAAGAGAATTTTAAATGCGGTAATTTGTTGCCAATATAAATTATCATAATCCCAGCAAAAACTTAACTTTTACTTACTGAACACCATATTTTCCATAGACTATTCAATAAACTAGTCAAAAGGCAAGTCAATTGGCTGGTCCATAGACTAGTCAATTAGCTAGTTCAAAGACTAGTTAATAGACTAAACCATAGACTAGTCAATAGGCTAGTCAATAAATTTGGCAAAAGATTAGTTCATAGACGAGTAAATAGACTAGTTGGATAATTGGCTAGTCCGTAATCTTGTTGGGTAGTCCAAAGACTAGTCAATAGACTAATCAACAAACCAGTTAATAGACTATACAATATATTAGTTTATAGAAGAGTTAATAGACTAATCAATAGATAATTCAATACGCTAGTCAATAGACTAATCCATAGACTAGTATATAGGTAGTCCAAAAACTAGTCGATAGACTAATCCATAAACTAATCAACAAACTACTATACAATATATTAGTTCATAGAAGATTTTAGTTAGTCAATAGACTAATCCATAGACTAGTATATAGACTAGTCCATAGACTAGTCGACAGACTAGTCCATAGACTAATCGACAAACTAGTCCATAGGCTAGTCGACAGAATAGACCATAGACTAGTCGACACAATACGCCATAGACTAGTCGATACAATACACCATAGACCAGCCGTCAGTCTAATCCATGGAGTAGTCCATAAACTAATCCGTAGCCATTTCAATATACTAACCCACAGCCAGACAAGACAATGAACTAGTTCAAAAACAAATCAATAGTCAATGAACTAGTCTTCTCTACAGGCTAATTCATAGACTAGTCAATAGAATATATAATTGATTTGTCAATATACTAGTCCATAGAATAGTCAATATATTAGTGCATAAACTAGTAAATAGAATGTACATACATACATATATACAATAATTAGTCCACAGAAGAAATAATAAACTAATCAATAGAACATTCAATAAGCTAGCCAATAGACTAATCCACAGAGTTTTCAATAGACTATTCCATACACATTTCAATATACTAGCAGACAAGTCCATAGACTTTTTAATCGACTAGTCTGCAGACAAGTCAATGGACTAGTTCAAAAATAATCGACTATTGATTGATATAATGGACTAGTCTACTCTATAGGCTAATGCATAGACTAGTCAATAGACTAATCCATAGTATATTCAATAGGCGAGTCAATAGATTAGTCCATATACTTGTCTATAGATTTGCCGATATATAGTTTATAGACTAGTCTAGTCAAAAGTCTATTTTATAGTAAGTAGATTAGTAAAAAAACTTTCAAAAGTAATTTAGTACTTTTAACTTTAAAAAAGTACTATTTTTTGGAAAAATTTACTACTATTTTAAAATTGAAATATTTTCATTGCTTATTTAACTCATTACATTTTCAATATAAGTTTTCGCTGGAAATGTTTTGCCAATTAGCCCACTGTATGACATTTAAAAGGCGTGAAACTAAGCATTTAAAAACCTATTATAAAAACTAAACAAGAAACTTGAATAAAACTATAGCAGAAGTTCATGTTTTATGAAAACTTTGAAATAGTTTATTACAAGATCTTTGTCATAGAAAGTCAGAAAATTAATAAAGTATTTCCAACAATTAGCTGTTAAAATGAATTAGAAATGTAGCTGACAAACTTTTATCACCTCATCCACTTTTTTCTAAAGCTTAATTAGTCAACATCTTGATCGCATCTAAATGATCTACTAAATATGTAAAAACTCGGACTTATTTATTTGACATTTTATAATTAAAAAGTCTGATTCATTAAGGAACGGAATGAAAATATAATTCCACAAAACGATTTAATGTTAATAGAAATTTCACTTAAGGGCCCTTCACACGGTCGCACTTTACGTACGACAAGTCTAATGAAAAAGTAAAATGAAATTCCATCCGTATGACAAAAAAGAGAATAAAAGTCGTATGATTTATATTTTTTGTGTTTACACGATTGGTATAAAACAATAACAAAGTAAGATGGAACAGCTGTTTCATTCACCTTTTGGTATGTGTTTACATAAAAATACATCCCTGATCTAATGCGACTTGCTTGTTTTTTTGAATCATTTCAAAAAAATGAAGAGAGCCATACGACTGTCAAATTTTCCATCCGTATTTTCTCTCAATGTTTGATGGTTTCATTACATATTGCGTTTAGACGATCCCATCCGTTCTTTTCTACACAAAATTTTGACAGATCATATTACTTGTGTGCTCGTGTGAAGGGGGCTTTAAGCTGTACAACTTAAGGAAACGTAATCGAAATGCCCTATACGATCGTAGCTACGTTTTTGTGACGAAGCTTTGAATCGAAATAAAGACTACAGGTCAATGCCAAAAGAGGAAACATCGCTTCAAATTGGAATGCAGAATAGGAATGATTAAAAATTATTTTTCAAAAAGGAACATCTTAGAAAAGTTTTCGAAACAACATAAAACTACAAATCCATTTGTCTTTTAACTCGTAGTAATAGGTTGACAGTTTTGCAACCATTATGTTCAAAACCCAAATGTTCAGCATTACTATTAAACAAAATTAACATTCATTATATATTTTGTTAAGTCATGATTGTTGGTTCACTAAAACCACAGTTTCTTCTCTATTTGGTGTTCAAATCATGTCTGCAAAGAGAGAAAAAAAAAACTAAAAAAAATGTTCAAGCCATAATCTGTAAAATTGAAACACCCTAGAGAATATTTGGTTAAACTTACTTATAACTTGTTTATATTTCTAACTCCTTATAAGACAATCTTGATTGTAAATTTTGTTGACCATCAGTAAAGTCAAAGACAAAAAAAAAAGTTACTACCAGTATGTAAATATGAATACAGTGACAAACAAAATTGTGAAAAAATAAAAATATTATAAAATCTGAAACCGACCATTTTTCTTTAATATTTTTCTAACACACATTTGTTAAAAATTATGAAAATTTTTTAGGAAATGGAATTACGATTCAGATCTTTAAGATTTGTTAGCCATTATATCAATAAAAATATCATATTATTGAAATTAAAATTCGATTAAGAACTTCCAGTAGACACTGTATATTGATGTTAATAATAAACCGGATTTATTTAACTATAGTTTGTTGTATAAAAAAAGGATTCTTAGTACATAATAGTACAGAATTTTTAAGGTCAATGTTTGATCATTAGACAAAGCCAAATGTGATCATGGACAACTTCCACTATAGTAAATCAATAATAAATAGTTCAGGTTTTTTTGAGAGATTTTCTTTCTAGATCATTTCTCACAATTTGAGAGATTTTCTTTCTAGAAAATTTCTTAAAATTTAGGAGATTTTCTTTATAGAAAATGTCTTATAATTTGAGAGATTTTCTTTTTAGAAAATTTCTTCTAATTTGAGAGATTTTCTTTATAGAAAATTTATCACAACTTGAGAGGTTTTCTTTATAGAAAATTTGTCACAATTTGAGAGATTTTCGTTATAGAAAATTTCTCACCATTTTAGAGATTTTCTTTATAGAAAATTTTCTTACTTTTTAAGAGATTTTTTTTGTAGAAAATTTATCAAAATCTGAGAGATTTTCTTTATAAAAAATGTCTCATAATTTGAGAGAATTTCGTCATCTCACAATTTCTCACATAAAATAATGTCTTTCAAAACCATTTTCAAACAATCTGAGAATCTGGATTTTGATACTTTGGCACTTAAACCATACTAAACTGTTTAATGATTTTTTTGTAGATTCTTCTCTATATTGCTTAGAAAGTGGGCTAAATAAATTCAATTACAATGTTCCATAATTTCAATGTGATGGTCAAATATCAATAACAAATTCTCATTAAAATTTCGAAAGCGTGCGACGGCAATTTGTCAAAAGTACTCTACACATTAGTAAAGCCCTGAATAATAATTTATATAAACTCATTAAGATTAATATATTTTTTTTTAATTTAAAAACCTTACAAACAATATCAATAAAAGTAGGTAATTTCGGGCTTATGTCAGTCAGTCAATCAATAAATAAAATTGAAACTCATTTCAAAAAAAAAGTAGTTAATCTTCGAACAGTAAAAAAAAATTAAAATAAAAAAACACAGCAGCTTTTAAAACTACATTATTATATTAATATTCATTTATTTTGTTATTTTCAAATAACATTTCATTAAAAAGGTGTCAATATTATTTTATGTAAACAAACTTTATGATTTATTCAAGTTTAAAATACTCCCAAAAAAAAGTTTCACTTTAAATTTCTATTTAATATTCAATATCAACACTGACCATTTATTTGACTAAAGTTTTTTTTTTGCCCCTTTGCTAAATCTATTTAACAAATTTACAAACAATCAATTATTCATGACGTAGTGTGAACGCAGTATTGAATAAAATTATATTTTTTTTAAACAAGTTAAAAATAAACAATTTCTTGTTAATTGGTGTTTTCAAATCAAGTTTTATATTGTTAATTTAGAAAATAATTGAGAGAATTATAGAACAAATCTTTAAGATACATTTCCGACTTTTGGATTAAATTGTAAATCCCCATAAAAAGTACTTTTTAGGGGGAATTTATTAAAAACATGTTTTAAAATTGATTTGAAATGCTTATTACGATATCACAAGTTGATTTTTCTTGGAAAATATATAAATGGCATCTGGGATGATACTTGAACTTTTCAATAGGGTAATCAATTGATGAGATATAGTACTTTTTTTGTAGAAAATTTCTCACAATTTGGGATTTTCTAGAAAATTTTTCACAATTTGAAAGATTTTGTTTATAGAAATGACCGCTCAGTTTGAGAGATTTTCTTTATAGAAATTTTAGCGCAATCTGAAAGATTTTCTCTATAGAAATTTTCTCACAATTTAAAAGACTTTCTCTATATCTTATAATTTGAGAGATTTTCTTTATAGAAAGTTTCTCACAATCTGAGAGATTTTCTTTATAGAAAATTTCTTACAATTTAAAAGATTTTCTCTATAGAAAATTTCTCACAATTTGAGAGATTTTCTCTATAGAAAATTTCTCACAATTTGAGAGATTTTCTCTATAGAAATTTTCTCACAATGTGAGAGATTTTCTCTATAGAAATTTTCTCACAATTTGAGAGACTCTCTCTATAGAAATTTTCGCTCAATTTGATAGATTTTCTTTATAGAAAATTTCTTACAATTTAAAAGATTTTCTCTATAGAAAATTTCTCACAATTTGAGAGATTTTCTCTATAGAAAATTTCTCACAATTTGAGAGATTTTCTCTATAGAAAATTTCTCACAATTTGAGAGATTTTCTCTATAGAAAATTTCTCACAATTTGAGAGATTTTCTCTATAGAAAATTTCTCACAATTTGAGAGATTTTCTCTATAGAAAATTTCTCACAATTTGAGAGATTTTCTCTATAGAAAATTTCTCACAATTTGAGAGATTTTCTCTATAGAAAATTTCTCACAATTTGAGAGATTTTCTCTATCGAAAATTTCTCACAATTTGAGAGACTTTCTTTATAGAAAATTTCTCAAATTTTAAGAGATTTTCTTAATAGAAAATTTCTCACATTTTAAGAGATTTTCTTTATAGGAAATTTCTCACATTTTAAGAGATTTTCTTTATAGGAAATTTCTCACATTTTAAGGGATTTTCTTTATAGGAAATTTCTCGCAATTTAAGAGATTTTCTTTATAGGAAATTTCTCGCAATTTGAGGGATATTCTTTATATAAAATTACTCACAATTTGAAAAATCTCCTTTATAGAAATTTTCTCACAATTTGAGAGATATTCTTTACAGAAAAATTTTCTCAAAATTTGAAATTTTCTTTATAAAAAATTTCTCACAATTTGAGAGATTTCCTTCATGGAAATTTTTCAAAATTTGAGGTATTTTCTTTATAGAAAATTTCTCACAATTTGAGAGATTTTCTCTACAGAAAATTTCTCACAATTTCAGAGATTTTCTCTACAGAAAATTTCTCACAATTTCAGAGATTTTCTCTACAGAAAATTTTCTTTATTGGAAATTTCTCTCAATTTAAGAGATTTTCTTTATAGAAAATTTCTCACAATTTAAGATACGTTCTTTATGGAAATTTTCTCACAACGTTTTCTCACAATGTGAAAATTTTACCATAATTATTCGTTGAGTGTAAAACCTAACTGTTATTGTTATTATTTATGTTAATGACATTTCACCAATTTCTTTTTAATTTTAAAATTTCATTCCTTGCACGCTACTAGATATTGTTAAGTATTATTAGTTACATGCATATAAATGCATATAAAGCATGATTTAAAGAACTTACATTTCTTATAGTAGAATCAAAGATTTTCTTTTTCAAAATTTGTTTTGAAATTAAAAATGTGAAATGAAAGTTTTCTAAATACTAGAGAGAAACAGTTGATTAGCTAATTTAACCAACGTAAAAACTAAAAGGTAGCTCGATTTCTTGTCGACCTCTGCTTCTAAAAATCTATATTTCCTCATTATTTTATTTATTTTACACCCGTTTTATATTTTGTACAATTGAAAAAAAATCAATTTTTTTAAACTAATTAAGTTTTTTTCCACAATATTTTAGTTTTTTCTTTACCCACCACCATGAGACATCCATTCACCTACTTGGCCCTTGTTATATTGGGCTTAAGCTGGTTTTCCTGCTGCTCTGAAGCCGCCATTATAGACAACAGCTATAATTATTATCGTCTACCCACTTCCATACAACCGGATCGTTATAAATTGAAAGTTATAACTCATTTAGAGAATCCAGCCAATTTAACTTTTGATGGTCAAGTTTCCATACGTTTCAAGGTGCTACAGGACACCACCAATATTACTTTACATTCGCAAAATTTAACTGTAGATGAATCGCGTATAAAGCTGAAGAGTTATGATGATGATCAGAAAATGGATTGTTTATTGTCGGTGACTCAGGTCCCGGAACAGGATTATTTTATTATACAATTGTGTCAGACACTGCGCAAGGGTCAAAACTATAAATTGAAATTGTATTTTAACGGTATTTTGAATGAGAAATTACATGGTTACTATCGTAGTTCCTATGTCGTAAAGGAGACCAATGAGACCAGGTTTGTGAGGAATAATAAAGGATTTTGGAATTTTGGTTTGTTTAATGTACTCCTTTTTCTAGGTGGCTTTCGGTTACCCAATTTGAACCTGCCCATGCTCGTGCCGCTTTTCCTTGCTTGGATGAACCTGAATATAAAGCCAAGTTTGTTATATGGCTGGGTCATCATAAAACTTTAACAGCTCTAAGTAATATGCCCTTAGAAAAGCAGGCACCAATGTAAGTATTCCGATTTTCTTTATAGAAAATATCTCTTAATCTTAGAGATTTTCTTTATAGAACATTTCTCACAATTTTTCTCTATAGAAAATTTCTTACGAATTTTAAAATTCAGAAAATTTCATGTATTCTTAATATATTATCGTTCACTTTTAGAACTGGTCTCAACGATTTCGTCTGGAGTATATTTGAAGAATCTGTACCCATGTCCACCTATTTGGTAGCCTATACCGTCAACGATTTTGCCTACAAACAGTCCGAACCAAATGCGGAATCAAACAATAATATAATGTTCCGTACATGGGCTAGACCTGAAGCTATTGATCAATGTAATTATGCCAGTGAAGTTGGACCGAAAGTTTTGAAATACTACGAAGATATATTCGGTATACCATTCCCTCTTAAGAAGGTAGATGAAATTGCCGTACCCGATTTTAGTGCAGGCGCTATGGAAAATTGGGGTTTAGTAACATATCGTGAAACGGCTCTACTCTTTGCACCCAATGTTTCTTCCAACTCTAATAAGTTGCGCATTGCTCAGGTCATAGCTCATGAATTGGCTCATCAATGGTTTGGCAATTTGGTAACCATGAAATGGTGGACTGATTTGTGGTTGAATGAGGGTTTTGCCACCTATGTGGCCAGTTTGGGGGTTCAACATTTAAGTCCCGAATGGGAATCTTATAATGAGGAATCATTAGAGAATACTTTGGCTATTTTCCGTAGAGATGCTCAGCTATCCAGTCATCCAATATCGCAACCTATTTTGAATACCAGTCAGATAGGAGAAAGATTTGATTCGATTTCCTATAAAAAGGGTTCGGCTGTTTTGAGAATGTTGCATTCCATCTTGGAGGAACAGGCTTTCTTTGAGGGTGTTAGCGATTATCTTAAGAAACATAAATACTCGAATGCTGAACAAGATGACTTATGGGCCGCTTTCACCGAAAAAGCTCATAGTTACGAGCGCATACAAAATGAATACGATATGAAGACTATAATGGATTCTTGGACTTTACAAACCGGTTATCCTTTGGTTAAAGTAACACGTGATTATTACAGTGGAGCGGTGGAAATTTCTCAACACAGATTTTTGGAAAATAAAACTCTAACGGAACAACAAATTTCGGATAAGGAACAATGCTGGTGGGTACCTCTTAGCTATACTACGGCCTCGGTTAAGAACTTTAAAACTACCACACCACAAAATTGGTTGGAATGTAATGCAGAGGGTAAAAGTAAGAATTTACGTCTGGACAATTTGGCCAAGAAGGATGAGTGGGTGCTTTTCAATATCCAATTGTCGGGTGTTTATCGTGTTATGTACGATATTGAAAATTGGGGTTTGTTAAATGAGACTTTGAATAGTAAAGATTTTACTAATATTCATATTATGAATCGTGCTCAATTGATTGATGATGTGATTTGGTTGGCCTGGAGTGGTTATCATGATTACGATATTACTTTTGATCTGTTGGAATATTTGATACAAGAACGAGAATATTTACCCTGGAGAGCTGCTTTGGAGGGTCTCAGCAGTGTGAATAGATTGTTGAAGCCATTTGATGCCAATTATGAATTGTTTAAGGTAAGGGAATGTTGACAGTTTTAAAGCTTCCTTAACAAATATTAATACTATTATGTTTACAGCGTTATATGCGTTATATTATCAAACCGGTCTACTATTACTTGGGTGGAGTAAATGCCACAACTTTTGAGGACTCTTCTTCATTTACCAAGGTCTTGCACAAGTCCCTTATAGCCGGCTGGGCTTGTCGTTTGGAAATGGAAGATTGTGTACAAAACTCCATTAAATATTTCCAGCAATGGAAGACCTCACGCAATCCCAATACCGAAAATAATATACCCGTAGATCTAAGACCTACTGTATATTGTACAGCTATACGTCATGGCAGCCACGATGATTGGCAATTCTTATGGCAACGCTATAAGGAATCAAATGTGGCTACGGAAAAACGTACCATTATCTTCTCTCTAGCCTGTTCTCGTGATACCAAAACTCTGGTTAACTATGTGGATATGACTTATGATAAGACGGGTCATATACGCAAACAAGATGCTACTTATGCCTTCAGTTCCGTGGCACGTAATGAAGTTGGTTTCCCTCTAGCTAAACAATATTTTATGGAAAATATTGATAAACTAAATGATTAGTAAGTTTATGATTAAAAAGCCCTCAAAAAATATTTATTAATTTCTTAATTTTACTTTTTTTCATCACAGTTATGGTCCCTATTCCAACGATTTGGGTCATTTATTGTCACCTTTAGCCAGCCAAATCATTAGCTCAGAAGATCTCAATAAACTTTCCTCGCTGATCGAGTCCAAAAAGGAACTCTTTAAGAAATCCGAAAAGAGTGTACAAAGCGCTTTCGAAACTATTAATTTCAATCTTCAATGGATTGAACACAATGTACGCGATACTAAATCACGTCTACAATCACGTTTAACTTTTATGGATTTCCTTAAAACCGATGAAGAGGCTTAAGGCATCATAATAATATAGAGTAAATTCCATGTGTGTGATGTTGCTTGTGAGCTGTATGATGGTATATTCCCTATTTGGGTTTTATTAGTTTATTAATAAAATAAAATCAACATCAGCCCAGTTATTTTAATTCTACTAATTCTAAGAATTACTTAAACATATATTTTTTATGATTTTATAGCGATTTTTTATGTATGTATATGATCAGCCCATATTAGAAGTGATGTATTTTTGTCATTGTCATTATTATATTTTTTTATTTCCAAAATACTGTAATTGTTTTTAACAATAAATGTATATTTATATGTATGTATAAGTTTTAGTAAATAATTTGGAGTTTTATTTCTATTAGATGCGATTATAATGAATTTTATTTATGTAGGTAAGATTTATACCTATAGAGGTAATATTAAATATAACCCACTTAGACATGACTGAATCTAGTTCAGATCTAGTTTAGTTGTAGTTCAATTCTAGTTTAGTTCCAATTCTGTTCTAGTTCACTTCTAATTCAGTTTAGTTCAGTTCAGTTCAAGTTCAGTTCTAGTTCAGTTCTAGTTCAGTTCTAGTTCAGTTCTAGTTCAGTTCTAGTTCAGTTCTAGTTCAGTTCTAGTTCAGTTCTAGTTCAGTTCTAGTTCAGTTCTAGTTCAGTTCTAGTTCAGTTCTAGTTCAGTTCTAGTTCAGTTCTAGTTCAGTTCTAGTTCAGTTCTAGTTCAGTTCTAGTTCAGTTCTAGTTCAGTTCTAGTTCAGTTCTAGTTCAGTTCTAGTTCAGTTCTAGTTCTAGTTCAGTTCTAGTTCAGTTCTAGTTCAGTTCTAGTTCAGTTCTAGTTCAGTTCTAGTTCAGTTCTAGTTCAGTTCTAGTTCAGTTCTAGTTCAGTTCTAGTTCAGTTCTAGTTCAGTTCTAGTTCAGTTCTAGTTCAGTTCAGTTCAGTTCTAGTTCAGTTCTAGTTCAGTTCTAGTTCAGTTCTAGTTCAGTTCTAGTTCAGTTCTAGTTCAGTTCTAGTTCAGTTCTAGTTCAGTTCTAGTTCAGTTCTAGTTCAGTTCTAGTTCAGTTCTAGTTCAGTTCTAGTTCAGTTCTAGTTCAGTTCTAGTTCAGTTCTAGTTCAGTTCTAGTTCAGTTCTAGTTCAGTTCTATTTCAATTCTAGTTCAGTTCTAGTTCTAGTTCAGTTCTAGTTCAGTTCTATTTCAGTTCTAGTTCAGTTCTTCAGTTCTAGTTTAGTTCTAGTTTAGTTCTAGTTTAGTTCTAGGTTAGTTCTAGTTTAGTTCTAGTTTAGTTCTAGTTCAGTTCTAGTTTAGTTCTAGTTTAGTTCTAGTTTAGTTCAGTTCTAATTCAGTTCTAGTTCAGTTCTAGTTCAGTTCTAGTTCAGTTCTAGTTCAGTTCTAGTTCAGTTCTAGTTCAGTTCTAGTTCAGTTCTAGTTCAGTTCTAGTTCAGTTCTAGTTCAGTTCTAGTTCAGTTCTAGTTCAGTTCTAGTTCAGTTCTAGTTTAGTTCTAGTTCGGTATAGGAGTGCGCTAGATTATGTAAATTTTGTAAGGGTTCAGGGACTAAATTAAGTAATTATTTCATATAGACAAGAAGTTCCATGACCTACCTATGGCTAATAACACTCTGCATACATATATGTACATAAAAGTAGGTATTTCAATATATTAGCAATGAGCGCATGTTCTAAGTATTCATTAGAATCTTTTCGCTAATTAATAAAGTTAATAAAAGCAATTTCTGACACGTTTCCTGAGTAGACAATGATCAAGTAGCTACAGTTGTCAACTATTAGATAAACAAGTCATCTTTTAATAATATAATCTCAATCTTTTGCATTTGTAATAAACAATAAGCTTTCTGCCATTGTAGTTTTAATTTAAAAGTTTCCAGATACCTACCTGTTTATTTTACTTAAATGCTAGCTTGGAGTCTTATTGGAATGCAACACCTACAGTGATCACAAATTTACTATTTTCACTTTACTGTTTTATATTTTCGTAAGGATTACATTTAATTTCTTTAATTAGTCTTTGGAACACTTTAATTTCTTTAATTATTCCTTGGAACATTTTATTAATTTAATTTTTCTCTATTGTTTTTGAAGCTCAGTTACTGTTTGTTTACAATTATTATAGCAGATTGTCAGTTACACATAAACATTCAGAATGTTGCCATATTTATGTGGAAATAATCAAATCGATTATAATTCGTACGACAAACGACTGCCGGCAGGGTGTATTTTTTTGTAACGTTATTTCTTTACTTTTACCACCCAATTATAAAAATAAAAAGATTTTGTTTGTAATAATTTACTTTTTTTCTTTGAATATGTATATATATTTCATTTTTATTATTTTATTTTTTTATAATTAAAGTTTTATGTGTGACTTTTAATAAGTATTTTCATTCATATTTTGTTGTTTTTAATTTTTATGTATAAGGTGTACTTAATAATTTGTTTTTAAATTTTTTATATATACTTTTTAATTTAATATTCACTGCTTATTATTCGGTTTTGTATTATTTATCGGGACTTTTTCAAGTAATCGATAAATAAATCCAACACTTAATACCTTTTTCCTTTGTATTTTTCTTATTTATGCATGGTAATTAATTATAATTATGTATACTTTTTTCAATGTATAATACAATATTATAGATTATTGTTATAAGACAAATTATTTTAAAATAATTCAAATTACTGCATTTATTATTTTGCAATTGAAAACTGAACTAGAACTGAATTAGAACTGAACTAGAAACTGAACTAGAACTGAACTAGAACTGAACTAGGACTGAACTAGAACTGAACTAGAACTAAACTAGAACTAAACTAGAACTGAACTAGAACTGAACTAGAACTGAACTAGAACTGAACTAGAACTGAACTGAACTGAACTAGAACTGAACTAGAACTGAACTAGAACTGACTAGAACTGAACTAGAACTGAACTAGAACTGAACTAGAACTGAACTAGAACTGAACTAGAACTGAACTAGAACTGAACTAGACTGAACTAGAACTGAACTAGAACTGAACTAGAACTGAACTAGAACTGAACTAGAACTGAACTAGAACTGAACTAGAACTGAACTAGAACTGAACTAGACACTGAACTAGAACTGAACTAGAACTGAACTAGAACTGAACTAAACTAGAACTAGAACTGAACTAGACTGAACTAGAACTGAACTAGAACTTGAAGAACTAGAACTGAACTAGAACTGAACTAGAACTGAACTGAACTGAACTAGAACTGAACTAGAACTGAACTAGAACTGAAATAGAACTGAACTAGAACTGAACTAAACTGACTAGAACTGAACTAGAACTGAACTAGAACTGAACTAGAACTGAACTAGAACTGAACTAGAACTGAACTAGAACTAACTAGAACTGAAACTAGAACTGAACTAGAACTGAACTAGAACTGAACTAGAACTGAACTAGAACGAACTAGAACTGAACTAGAACTGAATAGAACTGACTTAGAACTACTGAACTTAGAACTGAACTAGAAGACTGAACTAGAACTGAACTAGAACTGAACTAGAACTGAACTAGAACTGAACTAGAACTGACTAGAACTGAACTAGAACTGAAACTAGAACTGAACTAGAACTGAACTAGAACTGAACTAGAACTGAACTAGAACTGAACTAGAACTGAACTAGAACTGAACTAGAAATGAACTAGAACTGAACTAGAACTAAACTAGTATTGAACTAGAACTGAACTAGAACATAACTACAACTGAACTAGAACTAAACTAAAACTGAACTAGAACTGAATTAGATCTGAACTAAATATGAACTAAAACTCAACTGGAACTCAACTAGAACTGATGTAGTACTAAACTGGAACATAACTCGAACTGAATACTTTGTATTCATACTTATTAAGGAAAAATTGTAAATAATAAATATTTTTAATATATTTTTTTTAATTTAATATTTAATTATTTGGTTGTTTTTTTTTAATTTTTGTTGAGTTTATTTTTGTTTAATGTTTAACAAATTTTTTAACAATTTTTGTTTTTTTTTAATTTATGTTTTATTTTTTATTTCATAAAGAAATTAATCTTTTTTATTGTTAATTAAAGCCATTCTAGCAAATTCTTTTATAAGCTGGATTTCTTTTTCATTATACATATATTTAATTAATAATAAAAAATAAACATTTACAAATATGTATTTTAAAAAAGAACTGAAAAAATATCAAGAAATATTTTTTTTACTTAAAGATTTTTAATTTAATTAAAAATCTTTAATAGTTTTTGTTTTAATCAGAACATGGAATCAGTATATAATTTAATGAATTCTGTATTTGAATATTGTTTTTGTTTGTGTTATAAAAGTTGTAATAACTTTGTTGTTTGTTATGTTTTTATATATATTGAATACTTTTAGGCATTTATTATTTTAGAGTTCATTGCATATTTCAGGGATTTGTTTGTTGTCTTTATTTAAATAAATATTTATTATTATATTAGTACTATTTCAAAATTGCATTAAATTTCTTGTTATAAAGAGGTTGGTTTAATTTTATAAATTATTTTCATTTGTTATTAATAAATTCGTTATCAAATATGTTTATTATTATTTTATGTAATTTGTTTATAATATTTATTTAATGTTATGTTTATTTTGTTTTTTTTTTTTGCTAAAGGAAGGATGTTTTGTTTAGGAATCTTTCAATTTATTTTGTCGAATTTTATTTTTTAAATGGGCTACAAAAACAGACTAGGTTCATTCATTTATTTATTAGACTTATATGTTTTTTGTTTGTTTAATATATGTTTTGTTTTAATTTTATTGTTTTAATATATTTATGCATAATTTGAGAGATCTGTTTATTGATTTCGTATTATATGTATGTACATACATCTATGTACTTGTTTTATATACAAGTTTATATTTATAACAAAAATTGTTTATTCTTAAATGCCTAATACTGTTCCTTCTATGTTGTATTATTTTTAAATGTAATATTTAAAAATATTAAAAAAAAAACTAAAAAATAAAAATTAATATTTCAAATATATAAATGAACTGAACTAGAACTAAGCTAGAACTGAAGTACAACTGAACTAGAACTGAACTAGAACTGAACTAGAACTAAGAATGAACTAGAACTGAACTAGAACTGAACTAGAACTGAACTAGAACTGAACTAGAACTGAACTAGAACTGAACTAGAACTGAACTAGAACTGAACTAGAACTGAACTAGAACTGAACTAGAACTGAACTAGAACTGAACTAGAACTGAACTAGAACTGAACTAGAACTGAACTAGAACTGAACTAGAACTGAACTAGAACTGAACTAGAACTGAACTAGAACTGAACTAGAACTGAACTAGAACTGAACTAGAACTGAACTAGAACTGAACTAGAACTGAACTAGAAACTGAACTAGAACTGAACTAGAACTGAACTAGAACTGAACTAGAACTGACTAGAACTGAACTAGAACTGAACTAGAACTGAACTAGAACTGAACTAGAACTGAACTAGAACTGAACTAGAACTGAACTAGAACTGAACTAGAACTGAACTAGAACTGAACTAGAACTGAACGTAGAACTGAACTAGAACTGAACTAGAACTGAACTAGAACTGAACTAGAACTGAACTAGAACTGAACTAGAACTGAACTAGAACTGAACTAGAACTGAACTAGAGCTGAACTAGAACTGAACTAGAACTGAACTAGAACTGAACTAGAACTGAACTAGAACAGAACTAGAACTGAACTAGAACTGAACTAGAACTGACACTAGAACTGAACTAGAACTGAACTAGAACTGACTAGAACTGAACTAGAACTGAACTGAACTGAACTAGAACTGAACTAGAACTGAACTAGAACTGAACTAGAACTGAAACTAGAACTGGAACTAGAACTGAACTAGAACTGAACTAGAACTGAACTAGAACTGAACTAGAAACTGAACTAGAAACTGAACTAGAACTGAACTAGAACTGAACTAGAACTGAACTAGAACTGAACTAGAACTGAACTAGAACTGAACTAGAACTGAACTAGAACTGAACTAGAACTGAACTAGAACTGAACTAGAACTGAACTTGAACTGAACTAGAACTGAACTGAACTAGAACTGAACTAGAACTGAAATAGAACTGAAATAGAACTGAACTAGAACTGAACTTGAACTTAACTAGAACTGAAGTAGAACTTTTTTGTAGATAAAATCATCTGAAAACAAATTTTTTTGAATGAAAACAAATAAAATAAAATTCTTTTAAAATTTTTTCTTTTTAAATTTTTATTATTAATAATATATAGAGTTCTTTTTTGTGATTATACTTTTTAACTTTTTACTCACATCTTAAATAATTAAAGCCAAAAATTTTTTTATAAATGAAAAGAAAAAAAAAACAAATTAAAACTAAAGAGAGCTAAGCTTATAATAAACAACTATAAATGGATTAATCATTAAAAATACTTAATAAACAATTGATAATTTGATATAATAATAAAAAAATACCTAAGGAAAATAAACAAATTTTCAAAGAAAAATAATATCATATAAAATAAAGGAAAATTAAAAATAAAATTAACAATAAAAACAAAAGGGTGTTAAATGTGTTAAATATTATTAAAGTTATAAGGTTAATGTGTTTTCATATAGTTAATTGTTTAATTTATTTTAATTGTTATTTACTCAATTTTTAAGGTTTACAACATGTATACTTTTTTGTTTTTGTTTTTTCTTTAATTATTTTATATAGTTTAGTACATAACAAGGTATGCAGCAAATCAGTCCAATAGAGAGAGAGAGTTGTTATATAAATGTAGTAGTATTTATGTAGTTAGTTAAAGAATATTTTTAAATAGATAGATAAATATAGATAGATAGTTAAGATAGTTTTAATTGAATGTTGGCATTAATAATTTCTTATAAATGTATGTTGAAGTAGAAATAATAATACTATTGTAGAATCAAATTTTATGTGTTTTTGCTGTGAAATTTGCATTCATAATCCCAAAAATACTAGAACAAAGAATTGTTTTTTAGTACTAAAAATTATTTAAAAAGTTTTATTACAAAAATTTTTTATAAAATACTTTTAGTACTAAATATTTTTATATAAAAAGTCTTTGTACTAAATAGTTTTTAATAATATACTTTTCGTACTAAAAATTGTCTATAAAAAACTTTTAGTACTAAATATTTTCTATAAAAATCTTTAATACTTCTATAAAACCACTCTTATACTTTTAGTAGTAAATTTTTTATATAAAAGTATTTTAGTACTAAACATTTTTCTATGAAAATCATTTTGTATTAAAATTTTTCTATAAAAAAACTTTTAGTACTAACAAATTTTCTAAAAAAATCATTTAGTACTAAACAATTTTTATAAATCTTTTTAGTACTAAAAAATTTCTAAAAAAAATTTATATAAAGAACGTTTAGTACTATTTTTCTATAAAAAACATTTTGTTTAAAATTTTTTTATAAAATTGTTTATTTAAAAATTATTTAGTACTAATAAATGTTCTTTAAAATTATTTATTACTAAAAAATATCTAAAAAAATTTTTAGTTCTAAAAATTTTTCTATAAATAACTTTTAGAACTAAAAAATATTCTATAAAAATCATTTAGTACTAAATAAATTTCTATAAAAAAACTTAGTACAAACATTTTTTTCTAGAAAAATCTTTTAGTACTAAAAAAATTTCTATAAATAACTTTTAGAACTAAAAAATATTCTATAAAAAAATCATTTAGTACTAAATAAAAAAAACTTTTAGTACTAAAATTTTTTCTATAAAAATCTTTTAGTACTAAAAAATTTTCTATAAATAACTTTTAGTACTAAAAAACTTTTCTATGAAAATAGTTTAGTACTAAATAATTTTCAATAAATAACTTTTAGTACTAAAACTTTTCTATAAAAATCATTTAGTACTAAAAATTTTCCATAAATTTTTTTGTACTAAAAATTTCTTTGAAAATCTTTTAGTTCTAAAATTTCAATCCAATCTTTTATTAGTAAACAATTTCTATAAATAACTTTTGGTACTAAAAAATTTCAAAAAAAAAAAATTTAGTACTAAACAGTCTTCTAGAAAAATATTTTTGTACTAAAATTTTTTCTATTACAGTCATTTAGCACGAAAAAACTTTTAGTACTAAAAATTAAACAAACAAATCATTTCGTACTAAAAAAGTCTTACAAATAGCATTTAGTACTAAAAAATCCTAAAAAAAATTATTTAGTACCAAACAATTTTCTATGAAAAAATTTTAGTACTTAAAAATTTCTATAAAAATCGTTAGTACTAAAAATATCCCAAAAAAAACGTTAATATTAAGAAATGCTCTTATAAAAAACTTTTAGTACTAAAAAATGTCTACTAAAATCATTCAGTACTTAAATTTTTTTATAATAATCATTAAGTAGTAAACTATTTTTTACAAAAATCATTCAGTACTAAAAATTTCTATTTTAGTAAAAACAATTTTCTATAAAAACTTTTAGTAGTAAATAACATTCGTTTAAAAACTTTTAGTACTAAACAACTTTCTATAAAAAAAAAACTTTTAGTACTAAACAACTTTCTATAAAAATCTTTTAGTACTAAAAAATTTTCTATAAAAACCTTTTAGTACTAAAAATTGTATATAAAAATCTTTTAGTTTTTAAAAAATATTCAGTAAAAAATCTTTTTAAAAGCAATAAAATCAAAAAATTAATGTATCTAGCAAAAGAAAGAGCGAGAGAGTGATAGAGCTAAAGTAAAGAGTAAAATGTATAAAGATTAAAGAGTAAATATTAGTATATATCACGTATGATAGAATGATAAATTAAAAAAAAATATTGAAATTTTAAATACAAATATGTTTTTTTTTTTTTTTTTTTGTTAATTTTTATAAAGTTTCTTATTTTCTTGGAAATATTATCATTGTGTGGTTTACTTTTAATTTTGAATTAAATATTTTTCTTTCTCAATAAAGTTTAACTTATATAACCTGTTCTTTACAATTGCATTTAGTCAGGCTTTTATTATTACAATTATTATTATTATTATTAATAATATTATTAGTATTATTACTACCACTACTATTGTAAATGTTGTTGTTGTTATTATTAAGATTAATATTATTACTATAACTTGTATTGCTCTTATGCTTACTTTTAGTTGTTGCTGTTACTCACATACGTATACCCGAACTATGGGCACTATGACCACTACTCTGTAGACTTTCATTTGACCAGGAGGTCTGTGGCGATGATGTTACGGGACCCGGAGAGGATGTAGATGCCGTTGCCGATTTTGGTGGTGTGGATTGTAGATTGTAACGGGCATAGAAGAGTAAATAGGGAGTTATAGTTATTTTACGCGCCGGTGATAATAATTCTTCAAATTCTCTTTGTGTCATGGCTTTGATTTTATCATCGTCACACATATACCAGATGGGTTCACTGCAATTGTTTTGCGTGGTGGCATAGGAGGCTTTTGTGGAACCTCTACCCGTGCTGCCGTAACCCGAGGTATTGGCCGATGTGGAGTAGTTATGATGTATGTTGTTGTTGTAATTGGCTGGGGTATTGTAGCCAGAACCGTTGGAATATTGGGAAGATTCTTCACTGAAATCGCTAGTACTATTGTTGGCTGACTGGTATTGCAATTGCTGTTGTGCTGAAAGGCGCATGGCACAACAGTTAATACTTTGACAAGTGACCGGACATTGGGGTGTTGCTGCGCCACCAACACCAGCCGCTGTCGAATTATTCATAGATAATTTTCCTATGCCATTTGTAATGGCTTTGCTGCTGCTATTTAAACCATTTAATTGTTTGACATTTTTACTCATATCTCCCGAACTGGAGGCTTTACTACGTCCGAATTTCATCTTCATTTTCATAAACCCGGTACTCGATGAACCCAATCCAGAGGAGGCCGCTGAAGATTGCGAACTATTAGCGGCACTAGTGCTATTACCCGCCGCTGCTCCTAGATTACGTTCTTGACTAGCTCTTCTTCGTTGCTCTTTGGGACAATTGATGTATTCGTTGGCCCAATCCAGCGAACAGGTGTACGCAATGTAATGACCCACCGACATAGTAGCGCCCACATGCGTTATCACACTGTATAATTTATAAATGTGTAATTTGTTGGCATCACTTAGTTCACAGCATTTGGAACAGAAACATTGCAGGGTAAATGATGTTGGAATGTAACTGTTTATCTTCTCCATGCCACCGCTAAAACGGCTCAATTGTATGATCAAGAGACGTGGCAAGACTTCGTAAGATATTGAACGTATGGCCTCGGTATAGCCACAACATTGTTCACAGCGATATTTGTTTTCATTGCGAAAATACTCGCGGGTAATGCAGGAATTCTAGGAGGGAAGCCAAATAGTAAGTAATAGTCTAAACCTTTTTTTATAAATAACAACTCACCTGTATAAATGATGATGGTCTATCCATAAATTCGTTGCTTTCGTAACCCGCTTGGGGCACAGGTACAGCAATATCAATCATGGTTTCCTTTTGTTCCGTTATCGTTCACAGCTCAAACACTTGGTGGTCGACACCGTTATGCCCTCAAAGTCCTCATTAAAGAAATCCAAACCCAATTCTCTAATCTTACCCTCCAAACGTTGTTTATCCTTTAGTATTAAGGCCACAGCCGTGGTGCATCTGTTTCATCTAACGCTGTCGCGCTGCCCGCCACAATAGCAGTAGAATTTGAAGGTGAGGTTAGCGAGTTACTGCCACCGCCAATTGAAGCCGCTCCAACTGTTGCTGAGGCAGCCGAAGTCGATGTCGTATTGAGATCATTTGTATTTAGGTAGAAGAGACTATTTGCTGTGCTCGTGGTCTGTGTATTGCCACTAGACATGAGGGCATCTTTAAGAGGCGATTGAAGGCGGGAGTTTTTGGAATTTTTACTTTCATCTTTTCGCTTTGATTTGCGTGAGAAGAAGGAGGAAGTTTTTGAACTTGCTGAGGCTAAACTATTAATATTATTACTATTGCTAGTGCCAATTGCAATGCCACCACCAACAGCACTGCCAGCAACAGAAGTATGGTTTTCATTAAATCTCGTTCAACTTCATCAGGGTTGGAAATGTATCTGTAAGAAAGTTTGTTATAAAATGTTATTATAGAACAATTACTTAGTACTTAAAGAAGAAATTTTTAAAATTAAAAGATTTTTATAGAAAATGGTTAAATACTAAGATGTTTAATGCTAAGAAATTTTTAAAAATTTCTTCTAAAGTTGTTCTAAAATTTATTCCATTCTTGTGGCCTTATCAATAAGATCAACTTACCCATTCAATATCACATCTGGACACTCAGCTATGGCTTTGATTAAGGTTTGACTTGTTTCTCTTATACTATTCAATAGACACATTAAAAACTCATGCGCATCTTGTTGTTGATTACCCTCAAATATACTGCTAACATCTTGTATGGCATGCAATAGAGTATCGGCATGATGAGGTTCGGTCGATTCATTAATCTCATTGCGATGCAAACTCTGATAGAGTTCATGCAGTTTTTCAGTCAACAGCTGATGACAACTCTTTGAGTAACTTGTGTTAGGGCAGAAGAATTGTTGGCCCCTGCGCTAGGGACTGCAGTTCCTGAACCACTATTATACTGTTCCATGGAGGCTAAATCTTTGCTACTCCAACTGCGAGCATTCTCCATGTGCACTGCACTAATGCCGCGACCCAAGGAAGACGATTTTGCTCGTGCTCTCGCTATATTCTGTTGCAGAGCATTCAAATCCGCTAGCAAGTGATGAAGATTGTGCAAGAATTGTGGTGCAAAACGCAGAGTGTATACCACGGAATTCAAATAGCAAGTGTTTCCAATATTACACAGTGTTCCCATGGTGGGCGCATGATTGATGGCACTGCCATTACCCACCAACGAAGGATTCGAATTGCCTGCAATAACAGAACCACTGCTACCCGATAGATAATATTGATTTGCCATTTCTTGTGTATCACTGGTATCATTCATAACCATCGCAGCACCACCGCTACTGGCACTCGACCGACTTGAAGTCATATAACCATTGCCCACAACACTACCGCCTCCGCCACCACCGCGACCATCATTGGTCGTTTGAAATGGACGCTCATACAGCGACATTATACGCGCTCTTTTCTTCGAATTCGTATTTGTTGCTTCGATTGGCAATGGTTTAAGGAATTACCAGCCGTTGTTTGTTTTTGTTCGCTGTTGTTGTTATCTACAGCAGCGCTTGCAGACGTTTGCACGCCTGTAACAGCAGCAATTTGTGGTGTAATTGGATTGGCTGCTATACGTTTGGGTCTGGGTTGATGTAGTGTCGCAAGTCCTAGGAGTATCGCCTGTGTGTTATTACGTTTACGTTTATTATTGGGTTTCTAACTTCTTCGCTCAAGGTTTCGATTAGATTTAAGGTTGCATCATCAAGAACGGGGGAAACTGGAAATGAATGAAAAAAATTTCGAAATTTTTTAACAAAGAGAGGTTATGAATGGTTAGTTTAATTTTCAATATCATTATCATCATTTAAAATTTGTTATAAAATATACAGTGCTTGGAAATTGTTTCAATAAATCTGTATTAGTTCTAGTTAAGTTCTAGTTCAGTTCTAGTTCAGTTCTAGTCAGTTCTAGTTTCAGTTCTAGTTCAGTTCTAGTTCAGTTCTAGTTCAGTTCTAGTTCAGTTCTAGTTCAGTTCTAGTTCAGTTCTAGTTCAGTTCTAGTTCAGTTCTAGTTCAGTTCTAGTTCAGTTCTAGTTCAGTTCTAGTTCAGTTCTAGTTCAGTTTAGTTCAGTTCTAGTTCAGTTCTAGTTCAGTTCTAGTTCAGTTCTAGTTCAGTTCTAGTTCAGTTCTAGTTCAGTTCTAGTTCAGTTCTAGTTCAGTTCTAGTTCAGTTCTAGTTCAGTTCTAGTTCAGTTCTAGTTCAGTTCTAGTTCAGTTCTAGTTCAGTTCTAGTTCAGGTAGTCTAGTTCAGTTCTAGTTCAGTTCTAGTTCAGTTCTAGTTCAGTTCTAGTTCAGTTCTAGTTCAGTCTAGTTCAGTTCTAGTTCAGTTCTAGTTCAGTTCTAGTTCAGTTCTAGTTCAGTTCTAGTTCAGTTCTAGTTCAGTTCTAGTTCAGTTCTAGTTCAGTTCTAGTTCAGTTCAGTTCAGTTCTCAGTTCAGTTCTAGTTCAGTTCTAGTTCAGTTCTAGTTCAGTTCTAGTTCAGTTCTAGTTCAGTTCTAGTTCAGTTCTAGTTCAGTTCTAGTTCAGTTCTAGTTCAGTTTAGTTCAGTTCTAGTTCAGTTCTAGTTCAGTTCTAGTTCAGTTCTAGTTCAGTTCTAGTTCAGTTCTAGTTCAGTTCTAGTTCAGTTCTAGTTCAGTTCTAGTTCAGTTTTAGTTCAGTTCTAGTTCAGTTCTAGTTCAGTTTCTAGTTCAGTTCTAGTTCAGTTCTAGTTCAGTTCTAGTTCAGTTCTAGTTCTGTTCTAGTTCAGTTCTAGTTCAGTTCTAGTTCAGTTCTAGTTCAGTTCTAGTTCAGTTCTAGTTCAGTTCTAGTTCAGTTCTAGTTCAGTTCTAGTTCAGTTCTGGTTCAGTTCTAGTTCAGTTCTAGTTCAGTTCTAGTTCAGTTCTAGTTTAGTTCAGTTCTAGTTCAGTTCTAGTTCAGTTCTAGTTCAGTTCTAGTTCAGTTCTAGTTCAGTTCTAGTTCAGTTCTAGTTCAGTTCTAGTTCAGTTCTAGTTCAGTTCTAGTTCAGTTCTAGTTCAGTTCTAGTTCAGTTCTAGTTCAGTTCTAGTTCAGTTCTAGTTCAGTTCTAGTTCAGTTCTAGTTCAGTTCTAGTTCAGTTCTAGTTCAGTTCTAGTTCAGTTCTAGTTCAGTTCT